AGGAGACAGAGGAGACAGGAGACAGCATAAATATTTTTATTGTTTTTATTAGTATTAGTTTTTTTGTTTTTTTAGTGGGGGAGAGCATACACAGATACATATTACGTTCTGTCTCCTTTGTCTCTCGTAAGTCCTCTTAGCCTCTAGGGTTTAGGGTTTAGGGTTTAGGGTTTAGGGTTTAGGGTTTGAATTTGTTGGTCTAGAGGGTAAATATAAGGAGACAAGTAAACAAAAAGAAAGACAGAGAAGTAAAGGAGAGAGAGAATATGTAAAGAAAGGAGATGAGAGACAGAAAGGAGGAGACAGAAAAAGGAGACAGCTGTCTCCTGTCTCCTTCTGTCCCTTCGATGCTTCTCTCTTCTTGGGGTGTATATCTGTCTCCTCTTTGTTGTTTTTCTTTCTGTCTCTTCTTTGTTTTTTTCTTTCTGTCTGTCTCTTCTCTGTTGTTTATATTTCTATCTGTCTCCTCTATTTGTTTTTTTTTATTTTTTATAATATAAAAGACAAAAGGATATTCAAAGGCTGTGCAGTGACTGCAACCAAGAAAACACAAAACTACCAAAAAAAAAAGTGTGGGGTGAGGGGGGGGCGGGTGAGGAGACAGCTGGGATCGCTCGATCCCAGGGCCCCACACAGCTGGAGACAGCTGGGATCGCTCGATCCCAGCCAGGGCCCCACACAGCGATGCCAGGGCCCCACACAGCGATCCCAGGGCCCCAGGGCCCCACACAGCTGGAGACAGCTGGGATCGCTCGATCCCAGGGCCCCACACAGCTGGAGACGGCTGGGATCGGGCGATCCCAGGGCCAAGCCCCCTCACGTACACCCCACAACAAAAGGGGACAACTGCTACAAATGAAAAAACATGCAGCCGCCTAGATGTGGCTGCAGCTGCTGTTTATGCTGGTGCAGCAGCGCAGCAGCAGCAGAGTCCTGCTGCTGCTGCTGCTGCTGCTGCTGACGGGGGTATGTTGCTGCTGCTTCTGCTGCTGCTGCTGCTGTTGCTTCTTCTGTTGCTGCTGCTTCTGCTGCTGCTGATGCTGCTGCTGCTGCTGCTGCTCTGCCCTAGCCACCAGAAGAGATGCAGCAGAAGCAAATGAGAGGGATATTTATATATACTTCTATCTACAGGTAGTCTTGCTGCTGCTGCTGCTGCTGCTGCGACTCAAGCGCCCCAGCCATCCTCAATATTGCTGCTGCTGCTGCTGCTGCTGTTGCTGTTGCTGCTGCTGCTGCTGCTGTTGCGCCGACAAAACTGCTGCCGCTGCAGCAGCTGCTGCAGACTGCATGGCTACGGCCGCTACTTTTCTTCGTAATATCAGATAGCTGCTGCTGTTGCTGCTGCTGCTGCTGCTGCTGCTGCTGCTGTTGATTCTGCTGCAGCTTCTACTGCTGCTGCTGCAGCCTCTGCTGCAGCTGCTGCTGCTGCTGTTGCTGCAGCTAGTGGTGCTGCAGTTGCTTCTGCTGGTGTGCCCCTTTCCCCCTGTTCTAGCGGGAGGAGATCGATCCCAGCAAGCAAAGCACTTTTGTCTCTTTTTTTGTATTTTCAGTTTCTCTCATTTCTTCTTCTTCCCCTTTCTATTCTCTTCATTTCCTACTCACCGCATATGAGGCTATAGGGACCCCCGAGGGGCCCCTGCGGCCCCTCGGGGGGCCCCCCACCAGGGGCCCCCCAACGACTAAGGCAGTCAGGGTTGGTACCCTGTGGGGCCCCCACAAGAGGTCCGTGGGGGCCCCCCTGGTGGCCCCCTATTGCTTCTTGGGGGCCCCTTGGGGGCCCCCAAGAGGGAGTATATAACAGGCAATAGGGGTCGCTTGGAGGGCCCCCGAAGGGCAGTAAGGGGCCCCTTAGGGGCCCCCCTCCTGCTAGTTTGTGTGTGGTGATGAAATATACACATACGTACATACATACATACATATATATATATATATATA